TGATGATGATGATGATGATGATGATGATGATGATGATGATGATGATGATGATGATGATGAAATATGGAATTTAGACTAAACAAATGTCAACGGCATGATGTCTGACTTCGCCGCATCGCCATGACCACACCTTTCACCAGAAAAGTGTTTGTACTTGACTAGAAGCGAGATCAACTTATTATCTGTGTTCCGACACAATTTGTTGCTGATTAGGTCAAGAAGGTCTGAGACTAAGCTTTCCAAGCAAAGAAAAGGTCACTTTTTGTTGTTAGGGGGCGGGGCTTTGATGATGTCTTGTGTTATCATCATGGTATATTCGGGCATACAACACGGATGACTCTTTCCAAGTTTGGTATATTTTAGCGTTTCTATGTGAAAGTTACAGCTTTCTGAAATTGTAAAGCATTTCTAAAAATACTTCTATTTTAAGTCATAATATGCAACAAATAACMTATAGAGGGCAGCATTGGACCACTGCCGTATGTGACTTTGTGCCCAAAGAAGGGAAGAACTGTGCTGCRTTTGATGTCAATTGGAAACTCGTAGCTTTAGTTTTTAATGTGTTTTGTCCTTGACAAACAAAACACTCTCAAAATGCGTTTTCCCCTTTTTAAAGTAAGTATAACTTTACATATGCAATTTTAAAAATTATTATCTCATGAGAAGTTATTTCATAAATGAACCCAAATCTCGTTGGTTAGTTGCTATTTAGCAAAGCATGTATTTTTTTTCTCATTTATTTATAAACCCACGAAACTGGTTAAAAGGAAATTAGTAGACCCAGTTATTATTATGTTAACAGAAAACCAAAAGAACAGCGGTATCTTTTCGCTTCTCAAGCAACTTACTTGGGTCAAAAATTATGAGCAAGTTCTAATTTCCGAGGTACTCCAAACGCATCATTAACCTCGGCGATTTGACCGTCATTTCTGCCTCTCCAACTGTTGTGAGTAATGTCACACTGTTTATGTAGCCTAACTAACATGCTGTGATTGTCGGTGTAGTCACAAATACTAATAAACTTCAGACCAGGTGTACGTGAACACTTGGGGATAACGGCTAGCTTGTAGCGATTAGCTAAGCTTTGCTGTGGTTAGCTGGGGGCGGGAGCGCATGGAGTTTAAGCTTGCTGCTGCGGCTAWAAATAATAATATAACAGAATAATAACCCAGACCAACCCCCCCAGTGTCGGAAGTGTAGCTATTAATAGTCGTCTCCTCATTTCTTTAAACTTTAAATAGGTACACTTTACTAAATAAATGCTTACTACACACATCACATGAATGAACATTCAKATTTAAACCCCCAAAACTTTTGGACTGCATCCTGAAGATGGTTATTATAGCATAAAGGAAGAGGGTACAACAGAACTAGCAAAGTAATTTGTGAAAAGTGTGTAATTTCAAATTGAAAGGCAAAAAAGAGCAACAATGTTTTTTGCCCGTCACGCGCTAATTGCGTCTGCTGTTTATTTCCACACACCTGCTTTTATTTTTTACCGGAAGTTGTCTACAATGAATAGTAAAACTTCCGGTCATCCGGTTGCATACTTTTTAAGATTATGTGAATACTAAAAGAGCACAAAAACATTRCGAGCTTTTAAGCATACCTTACTGTGTTTTTAACAAAAACCTTTTATTTGTATATTTTTAATTATTACTGACAGATGCAGAATCAGAATATGTAAATAAATTCAGGCAAATTGACACAGTTTTGTTCATTTCTTGTCCTGGGCCATGGTCCTGCATGTTGACTGCAAGGATTAATGCTCTAGATAAGTCAAACATTATAGGCTGTTTGAATGTTGCTTCTTTGAGCTATGTTTTTTTTTTTTTTTTGAGGGATTTATACATTTGAACATTTAAAATTCAAAGTTATAACTGTCCACATATGTGCCCAGTCTTTTCAGGTGGTGGAAAGCTCAGCTGTTCCAAATATATAACTGACCATCTATGGATGAGATCACTTTTCATCATGACACAGTGCTGTCAGATGTTCACATGCACCGGCCCTGTTTSCGTCATTTTATGACTCGCCTCAACAACGTAGGACAACCTGGTGTGTATTAYAAAATCTTCGAGTACCTCACACTTTTTTACTGTCAATTATTGAGCAATGTGAGATGCTTTGGTTAAAAATATTTGTGAAATTCATGTGATGTTTTATGAAAAAAGAGAAACTAATGCGATAAGGACTTGCAGCATTCATTTAAGATCAGCCTCTCGCTTGATTAAGAGTAGAAGATAGAAATGACCAAATTCAGTTGACAAAACGTAAAACAGATGAGTTTATTAGTGTCCTCACAAAAAAAAAATAAAGTTATATTTAACTATATCTAAGCCTTTCATTTTTCTGATTTGAGGATATTCATCAATCTATCGTTCAAAATGTCCTGATGCATCTCAGTAATCCAGGTAAAAAATCAAAAAGAAAAAAATTGTATAGGTCTTCTGGACGGGTTCTTCTCTAATGAAACGTTTCGTCTCTCCTCCAAGAGACTTCTTCAGTCTGAGAGTTTCAGGCAAAATTCAGGCTTTTAAGCCCAGCCTCCGTGTGACTGATACTCACATCACCAATATTTGCGTTGTTTTGACTCCCACCACCCACTGGAACACAAGTTAGGAGTGATCAGGACTCTGTACCACAGAGCAGACAGTGTCCCTACAAACCCAGGAGCCAGGSAGAAAGAGAAATCACACACACGACAGGCCCTGGAGCAGTGTGGTTATCCTGACTGGGCTTTCCTGAAAGCAGACAGGAAACACAGACAGGACTCCATGCAAGCTTCAGGTGAAAATGAAGACCCCAAACCCAGACCCAAACCAGTGGTTATTCCGTATGTTGCGGGTGTTTCGGAGAAACTGAGAYGTTTATTTTCTAAACATGATGTCCCAGTGGCTTTCAAACCCCAAAACACATTACGGCAAAGGCTGGTTCACCCCAAAGATCCGGTGCCCCGGCACAAACAGAGCAATGTTGTATATGCTGTTAAGTGCCAGGAGGACTGCGACCAGTTATACATCGGGGAAACAAAGCAGCCACTGTTCAAAAGAATGTCCCAACACAGACGAGCTACATCTAATGGCCAGAACTCTGCAGTTTTCACTCATTTACAGGCCAGCGGTCACTCTTTCAGTGATGAGGATGTTCTCATTCTTGATAGAGAGGAACGTTGGTTTGAGAGAGGAGTAAAAGAAGCCACTTTTGTAAAGAAAGACCGTCCATCATTAAACAGAGGTGGAGGCCTCCGTTTTCAGTTGTCCCCCTCCTACAGCGCTGCCATTGCCAGTATCACTCCACCCCCTGTTAACAATAGGTAGTAGGTGTCAACGATAGCCATGTGATGTGAGTATCAGTCACATGGAGGCAGKGCTTAAAAGCCTGAATTTTGCCTGAAACTCTCAGACTGAAGAAGTCTCTTGGAGGAGAGACGAAACGTTTCATTAGAGAAGAACCCGTCCAGAAGAMCTACACAATTTTTTTCTTTCATCCATCTATCCATTTTCTTCTGCTTGTTGGAGTGGGGTTGTTGGGGAAGCAGCTCAAGTACGGAGGCGCAGCCACTTCCTGCCTGAAGCACCTCCCTAAGGAGGCATCCTTACCAAATGAACCACCTGAACTGGTTCCTCTCGGTGTAGAGGAGCAGCAGCTCTACTTTGAGTCTCTYCCAGATAACAAAACTTCTGACCCCGCGGAGAAAACACTTTTGACCGCCTGTATCCTCGATCTTCTTCTTTTAGTCACTGCCCAATCATTGTGACCATGGGTGAGGATAAGAACGTAGACTGATCTGTAAACAGAGAGCTTTGCTTTGCAGCACATCTCCCTCTTCACCACAACAGACCGGTACAGAGTCCGCAAAACTGCAGAAACTACACAGATCTGTCTATGAATCTCATGTTCCATTCTTCCCTCCCTCGTGAACAAAACCCCAAGATACTTGAACTCCTCTACTCAAGGCAGAACCTCATCTCCAACCTAGAGAGAGCAATCCACCCTTTTCCAACTGAGGACCACTCAGATTTTGAAGTGCTGATCCTCCTYCCAGCTGCTTCACACTCAACTGTGAACCACTCCCGTGAGAGTTGGAGATCACAACACGATGACTCCAACAGAACCACATCATCTGCAAATAGAGATGAAATCCTGAAGCCACCAAACCGGACTCCCTCCACCCCCTGGCTGCAATGAGAAATTCTGAACAGAAWTGGTGACAACGGGCAGCCCTGGCATAATCCAACCCTAAAGGGGTCCAAGTCACTGGTAATGCTAACCAAACTCTTGCACTGCTTGTATAGTGACTGAATGGCCTGTAGCAACGGAACCACAATCCTATACTCACGGATAACTCCCATAGTGCACCTCGAGAAACATGGTCAAATGCCTTCTCCAAGTCCACAAAACATATGTGACCCATCATTTCAAAACAAGGATTAAATCTAAAAGTGGGATGTGGAGAAATAGGCAGATATAGTATTTTGATTTACACATTTGCAAAAAAATATATTTTGTCAAAATATAACAAATAAATGCCTTATCAATGTATCATTATCCTAAAATAAAAAATTGAAGCAGTTTTTGAGTATTAGCAACATAAAACCTGATTTTGATGAAACTCGTTTAAAGATTTTAAGATTTTTCCTGTGAGCTAGGAAAGCTTTTGTTTCTTTCCAGTTAAGAAATCTCAATATTYAAGTACTATTTGATGTTTCCTCTCTATGATAATATAAAAAAAAATCCTCATTAAAATGACATAAAATTAGGATTCAAAACCAAATATTAATGTATAATCGTAATCAACAAAACAAATTAACTCATATCTCTGGATCCATTTGTGACATCATAATGAACCAGGTATCAAAATATAGCTTTTAAAGCCAGGAATCTGAAAATAAACTAGATACCGCATAGCGGTAACACAATGACCCCGCACGCACAAATGCACCAGAACTCAGAAGT